AACATTAGACCACAGACTTGTCCATTTTTTTATAAGAGGTCATATTTATTTTGATATCATGATGAATATTACATTTTAAAGTAAACAAAACGTCAAAGTAAATAATAACTCATGTGAAAGTTTAGCACCGTCTGTTATTTCTATTAAAATAATAACTTCCCACATTCCGAAATTTACTGCCGTAATAACGTTAGGTACGCAGTTGTATACCAACTTCGTTACGGTTACGATCTTGGCATATTATTTTACATAATCCTCGTAATGAATCTAGTTACCTACTAAATGAAGTTTTATTTACATTAATTTTGCTTAGCTTAGGTACATAGATGTAGTACATCAAAGTTAATCGGATACTGTTCACAAAATGATTCCTTGGCTAGCTAAGATACAGGATATTCAATCCCTTAACATTTTTATTTCATCTAAAATGTTACCATGACGAGCCATATGGATCGCACTGTGAAAAAGTTGTCAGATCTCATGTAGAGCCAAGCTTTTAAATAGGTACGGCCTAATTGTACACCTTATTTATTTATTTATTTAATAGGACAACCAACAAGACATACACTAGAAGACAATCAATATTTACAACCTATACCTACCATATATAATTAACCAAAAATATTGTTCCTCGGATCTCGAGACCACCGGCCCGACCACTTCACCGTTGGGCTATCGTGGCTACACTGACCGAGATAAGCGCCAAACATAGTAACTTTTAAGAAAAGATTTTCAGCTAGGCTAGATTTGCGACCGACTCTACATCACCACTCGTGCGGGCAAGTATTGCGTGATTATGAACGATAATAATCATTTCCAGACGATAGTACTACTTCAGTGTTTGTTGAGACACTTGTGCAGACGTCTACACCTTTTCAAATATTTCAAACTTCTTATACTTTCTATTGGAATCAGTGAAATTCTTTTCGAGTGGACTCTACGCTTCTTGTTGGTCAAACTTGTCTTCGTTCGTTCGTTTCAGTCAAATGACGTCCACTGCTGGACAAAGGCCTCTCCCAAGGCTTTCCAGAAACTTGTCTTACATCCGCTAAATTCACATTGATCCCGCCTGGTGAATTATGACATAACCTAACCCACAGTTGGGTTGGGGCGATGTCTTGTCTGATTGTCTGCAATTGGATGATTAGATTCGTGTCAAAAACATGATGATTAAAGGTCTTTGTTATTGTTTGCTAGGGAAAATTCTACGAACTTAAATTGCAAATGGTAAAGTGGTTACTTTGAGTGGGTTTAAAAAGGTATTTTTCCCTGGAAATAATGCCTAGGTATTACAGCACTTTATTACAGGATGTTGTCTTTTACATTCGATGGCGCGAGGCATTTTAGCGAAAGCTGAAAAAGGTGTTTTTTAACTTCAGTCTTTTAAATGGTTTTAATTTTCTTTGCGTATTAGCAATAACGGCCCACAGCAGTATTGGACTAAAAATTTTGCTGGCTCAAGCTTGTTCGGTTAGTTTTATGAACTGCAACGTGTGAACAAAACGCTAATTTTTAATTCGGAGAAGAGACTAAGTAGCGGACTTCTCTAAACTAGCATTCGCCCGTACCTATTCACAAACATTACTATGTGGTCTCACAATGCGCGTGGACGCACAGGGTGACACAAAAACCGTTCAATTTGCTGCTTCACTTAAGCAAGCATCAAGCAACGATCAACAGTGAGAGCAAATAATATCAAGAATTCTCGAAAATATAACCGTAATTATTAGTAAAGACATAATAAATAATAGTATTATTAATAATTATGTTAAAGGATGTTATATCATCTAACACGAGACAAAATGAGTGAATTTATTAGAGCGCAGTCGCCGAGTTAATATAATTGCCGTACTCTTGTGAGACGTAATTAAATCTGAAGATAACGAACACTCGTTACACGCACAATAAAGTGTTGAATAACTTTTTTTGTTATTATATTCGCTATGGCCTACTTCCTAGTTATTAGTTTAGAAGTATTAATCATCCCTGAAGACCATATATGTACTTACACTTATAAGAATAAGGTTATTGGGTTATGTATTTGACAACTGAAGACGACTCTAGTGTTATAATGGTACAATTGTATCTACCGATGGTTTAACATGCTTTCCAAAGCATTTTATATTACCTTTTTTTCGAAAATCAGGTCAAACTGGGCACAGATTCTTACGCGTTTCCCATCTGGGAATCGCACCTGGAACTTCCGAGTTTAGAGAGTCGATAGGAAGTTATTTATTTTACCTGTACCTACTATAGGTACAGTTTATTTACTTCTTTGGCCAGGTTATAGGAATTAGAGGAGTTTTTTGCTCTTATTACTTAAAAAGATTGACACCCGTATTCACAAATGATGCTTGCTTAAGTGAAGCAGCAAATTGAACGCACAGCGTTGAATAGAGCTTTATGATTGGTTCGTGTGTCACCCTGTGCGTCCACACGCACTGTGCGACCTCATAGTAATGTTTGTGAATACGGGCGATAGAGCTTTACCCAAAGGTAAACAAAAAGAGTGAATTTGAAGAAATTATTTTTCGTAGACACTTCAAAATATTGGATTGGTATCATTACACCCGAAAATGATAATGACAATCAAATAATTAATTGGGGGTTAATGCTACTCGCTTCCGTGGGTTTACCCTTGAGACCCCACAAGTGACCCCTGGGTGGTGCCAAATGAGTAGCCAATTTCCGGTGGTAGGCGTCGGCCGAGGCTGGTTACCACCCCCCAGACTAAGCCGCACCGCCAAACGGATTACACCGTGTTCCGGTGCGTGTTCTGGGGAAGCCGTTTCGGGAGTATGGGTCCGAGCAGTTGCGTGGATTGTGACATCGCCGTTCTGAGTTTAGCGGGGTGGGCGCATCGGGCGCCTGATTCTGGAGGCTAGCTGGATCCGAAGCACAGTGCACCGCTGGCTGACCGCAGGAAGTTGGGGGCCCAAGTAGCTTGCCAGCCACACGTGAAAGGCTGCCCCGCCACCTAGCGAAAAATCCCAGGATGCTCCACCTTGCCGGTTGGCGACCGGACGGGAGGACCAGGTGGCCATCTCTGGGGGGGTTCGGGCGTCCCCGCGGTCTCCAGGTCAGGCTCTAAACGGTCTGCTAACCCCGTCTGCCTCTCCGGGCGTACATGAAAACGCCTCGCTCAACTGCCATACTCCCTCCACTTATTCACTCTCAATAAATAATAAAATGGTACACAGAATAAGGAAAAAAGTTAAACAGCGGTTGCACGTCCTCCCACTCAAAGTGCACCTCACCAACATACGAGGGCTGCACTCCAATCTCTCTGCAGTCCACCACCACCTTGAGACTGAAAAACCGCAGCTGCTGTTCCTCACAGAGACACAGATCAAATGTCCAGCTGACGCGGCGTACTTGCTCTACCCTGGGTACACATTGGAACATAAATTTCAAGCCCGGGCGGGAGTTTGCGTCTATGCTCGTGACGACATTTGCATTAAACGTCTCAAATGCCTGGAGGTTCCCGGATTCTCTGTGATTTGGGCTTTAGTCGACACGGGCCTGGAGAAATTACTCTATGCCTGTGTTTACCGTTCGCACAGCGGAGACCTTGAGNAAAGTCTTGTATGCAATGAGAACTGTACCGAACAGTTGCACTAATAAGACACCTGCAGAAATGTTAAACGGACGCCGGTATAGAACAGCCGTGTCGTCCCTGCACCCGGACACAACCCCAACTAATGCCGATGAGCAGCTGGAGGCGGCGGCGCAACGCACACCATCTCGGACCTTTGTTGTTGATCAGCCAGTATTGGCTCGTATGTATGGGCCAGGCGAGAAATGGCAGAGAGCAGTGATCGAGATGGTAGAAGGTCCCAGCGCTTATTTAGTAAGGACGGAAGATGGTGAGCTACATCGTCGTCATGTGGATCAGTTGGTTAGACGAGCAGTTGCAACGGAACCAAGACCTGCTTCTGAGAAACAAACACAGGCGTCGAGTTCTACATCAACATCTTCCGACCCTCCTATTGTCCTTCCCCCACCTGAACAGTGGCCAGACATTATTGGCATTCCAATTACTGATTAATTAATTATCATTGTTTAATTAAGTGAATTCTTTAGTTTTGTTTTGTCTTTTGATTATGGTGGAAAGGTATAATGTGTATTTGGTTGACATTGACAGTTTCTAATATTGTATCTAATTGTGGGTATACAAATAATAAATCAGTTATGCTTTGACTTGAGTTGATGTTGTATCTTTTAAATATCAATAAATTAAAAATACGCGAGACAAAAATTGAAGCAGATTTTAATTTAAAGGCTTTTACCAGGATCGACATGATGTCAGTGAAGAACATAAAATATGGTTCGCGAAAGTCTTAAACATTACAGGAATTTTATTGTATGTCAATACAGTAGAATCTTGATAACTCGAACCTTGTTAAGTCGTAATCCTCGGTAAATCGAAAAGATATGCCTTCCGCCGAACCCCGAACGACGCTGTAACTCGAATTTTTTAGACTCGGTAACTCGAACAATAAGTTATTTCCCTGTGAGGCATTACTCGTACATTTTAATACTCAGTAACTCGAACTGCAAATACCTACCTCAGTAAGTCGAAGTTCATAAAATATAATGATTTCTTACTCGGGATTCCCGGAGCTCAAAACTCGTGGCAATAAAATCAAAAAGGAATGTTCGGGGCTCGGGGCCTCTTATCTATTGTTTTTGTTTTGCACACGTGCAAGGAATGAATACATTCAATAAACTTTCTAATGTCTAAGAAACACAGATGTTATGTTTCTTCATTTTTGGTTACTTGGCTCAGTCAGTATTTGTTTGGCTGTTAACAAGCATCATATTATTATCTCGAAATTCTTGTTAAGTCGAAAACTTGCTATCTCGAATTTTTTTTGGTTTCCCTTGACATTCGAGTTATCAAGATTCTACTGTATTTTTATCGGTATACCCTCCTATAGATTTCCTTGTTCTTTGCCTCAGTAGTTATTGTTTACAAATCAATTTCGTGTGCATTTCAGTTAAAATACTAATTGAAATGGAAAACCTCAAGACAAATAGTGATTTGTACGCATTATTAAAAACCACTATGAAAGATCGCGCTAGTTCTTTGGCTAGGATATTAGAGCTGTTTTCGCATAGACTATCTTCAGATAAACAGAGGTGAGTACTAACGTAGTTAATCTTCTATATAATACCTATATGTATAAATATATAAAAGGAGAAACTGACTGACTGACAGACCAACGCACAGCCTAAACGCTAAACATATGCACTTGAAAGGATGATGGGCATATTGGGCGTTAAACCAACAGAAACAAAAAGTATACTAAATTAAAGCATAATACTAGTACCTACTTCATTTCATAGTATGACAACAATCCTGAAATACGCGGGGATACGGAGATAGAGGTCGTTGAATATGCAAGGTTTCCATAGTATTTCACATCATATTAGGGTAATAAAAATAGTATTAGGTCAATTAGATTGCTTTTATCGATCATATTGAGAGTATTGTATCATATCTTACTATCGATTCTATCGATTTGTTAAGTATGTATACCGAATAAGTCATAATCGATTATTCGATTGCAATTATCGATTATATTGCTGAAAATAAGGAATTAAATTATCAATCAAATGATAGTAATGATGGAAATCAATAAAATCGATTAATCGAATTGTTAATCGATAAATCGTTATTTGGCAATATCGATTAATAATCGATCCGTGATCGATTATGCGACAACACTACAACTTAACTGGTAAAAATCTCATTGAAACATGACTGTGTTCATGTCATTTCTCTAAATGGTACCTAGGTATGGTCCTACGCTTATAATGTAGAACATGGTTTAAATAGGGTTACCTACGCCATATCGAATGACAAAATAAANCATCGCCGTTCTGAGTTTAGCGGGGTAGGCGCATCGGGCGCCTGATTCTGGAGGCTAGCGGGATCCGAAGCACAGTGCACCGCTGGCTGACCGCAGGAAGTTGGGGGCCCAAGTAGCTTGCCAGCCACACGTGAAAGGCTGCCCCGCCACCTAGCGAAAAATCCCAGGATGCTCCACCTTGCCGGTTGGCGACCGGACGGGAGGACCAGGTGGCCATCTCTGGGGGGGTTCGGGCGTCCCCGCGGTCTCCAGGTCAGGCTCTAAACGGTCTGTTAACCCCGTCTGCCTCTCCGGGCGTACATGAAAACGCCTCGCTCAACTGCCATACTCCCTCCACTTATTCACTCTCAATAAATAATAAAATGGTACACAGAACAAGGAAAAAAGTTNGGTAACCCGTTTAAATATACCATTTGTTGGCCCCACTCCTGAACTGTTGGACATAATAATGGATAAATAACTTAATGTATTTAAAATGTAAGTAGATAAGTATATTAATTAATAATAATTTTTGTTTGCGCAATAAAGCACCTATTACTATTACACATTATGTCAATTTCCAAGCAAACCCGGGAGTTTTTGGTAGTTATTTATATGAAAATATATTTCTGATATCAAGTCCTAACAAATAATAGTAGTTATATTTCTGTTGGTTTTACGCCCAAATTCCATAGAAAAGTGCCCATCATCCTTTGGAAGGGACGTAGCTTAGGTACCGTAGAGGTGCACTAAGAAAGGAATTCCCGAAATTCCCACGGGAACAGGAGTTAGCGGGAAAAAAATTTGTATGAAAAAATCTAAACCGCGTAAGATAGATGAAGGGGGTAAAACGGGATCCACGCGTACGAAGTCGCGGGCGGCCGCTAGTAGGTACTTTATGCACATAAAGAAATACTATAAAACAGACATAGTAAAAAATCACATCATCACAAAAGATTGTCGTTAAATTTACTACATCCATACATTTCGAATGTATCTACATTTTTTTTTTTTATTTATGATTGTGTTAGGTAGGTACTGAGTTACACATTTTATTTTTCAGACAACTAAGGAAAAAAATAAATAATTTCATTGACACTGTTCGTCGCAAGAAGAGGCAGTGTCATTATAATGAGAACCAATTTTTAGTTACAAACGTAGATTGGCTTAGTCAATCTGTTGATTGGAGTCAGTTTTGTAGTCCGCCAAATCCATCTAGTTTACCTTCTTCTTCAAGTACTACTCCACAGAATCATTTTTTAGAACTAAGTGATCGCCAGAAGAGACGTAGAACTGATTATTTAAAGAAATCTCCCCAAGAGCATATCGATTACTCCCCAAGAGCATCAAAAAATCTTATAGATTCCAATGCAAAGTTTATTTTTGATTTCATTCAAAATCATCCTGAGTATAATGAGGCAATCAAAAGTTTTTGTGAAAGTCTATTATCAAATGAAACTAAATGCTCTTCGTCTGTACAAAAATAATGATCTTACAACAATTGACATTAGATCAACGGATAGCTCCCGACTTATTACCTAGGTATTATCAAATATAGTTAGCAAAACAGGATTGTTATCCGCCCTCTGAATCAAAAATTGTATCAGAGGTTCAGGTAAAAATTAGATTACAAGATATTCTAGACCTGACTGTTTCAAGAATATTTAAAATGACTAGTATTAACACGGAGGAGTCTCATAAATACACATTAATACTAAAATGGGGGTGTGATGGTGCTTCTTCTTAGGCTACTTATAAACACAGCTTCTCTGACCCTGGTTTTGATGACTCATCGGTGTTCATGTGCAGTTTTGCAAAAACATTATTTTAGCTAATAAAACATTAACTTTACTTCACCGTGTCTATTTTCCGACACTACACCTTTTAAAACTGTTTGTCCAATTTCGAATTATCGCAACACTGAAGTTTATTAATAGGTACTTTGGAGATGGTACGAAATACAAACACCACTAAGTAGATTAACGTTTACCAATCGTAAATACAATAAATGCTTCTTAAAATGAAGTTTTTATTTATTTTACTTTGCTTAAACAACCCTGACGCTTGAGCTGTGAGGTAGATCAATTCTGATCACAAAAAAATTGCGCTCTTGTGAGCGTAGTCGTAAGGTGCATTTGAAATCAAATGCACCAGGTTCGTTGGAAATTTTGCATTATTATTATTACCCTAAAAAGGTCGGCATCTAATCCTGATCCAAGGAGTGCAATTTTTGTTGCTAAAGCCTGGTCTGTGAGCACGTAGAATATTGTCCAGCAGCAATATAATTACGCGCGAGCGTTAAGGATGGGTAGCTTGGGGTCATTGGACAAAATTATACGTGCTCACAGACCAGACTATACTATTATGTATTCTGTGGTTTTGTACCAATCAAATTGTATGATGTTGATACTGAATCTGTAATTTCGCAAAATCCAGCAACATCTTCATCGGCATATTGTAATTCCTTTTAAATTCGAAAAAGAAAATGAAAGGTTAACAAAGGAGTGTTATAATGACATAAGGGAACAAATAACTAGTTTGTTTTAAAATTAATAATAATAATACTGTTGATTATAAATTACATTTCACTATGGTTGATACGAAAATATGTAATGATTTGACTGATAATAAATCCTAATAGTTAATCCTAATCCTAGTAAGTAGTTGATACGAAAATATGTAATGATTTGACTGATAATAAAAGTGAAATGTTTTATTTGTGGAGCTAACCCACTTTCCATAAATAAGCTAGATTTAATTAATACAATACCACCAGATGAAGAACACTTTGGGTATTGGGCATCATCACTCCATGCATGGATAAGAAGTTTTGAGTGTATACTAAAGCCTGGTCCGTGATATTACGCGCGAGCGATAAGGATGGGTAGCTTGGGGTCATTGGACAAAATTCTACGTGCTCACGGACCAGGCTTTACACATAGCTTACAATCTCCCATTTAAATTCTGGTGATTGAGAGGGGACGAAAACAAAAAAAGTAAAGAAGAAAGAAAACAACAAAGACAATTTGGAGCCTGTTTGTTGATATCAAACAATCGAATACTAAGAAAACTTGGTTTTATTGGTTTACTTGGATTTAATTCTTGAAAAAGTGATTGATATCTTTGGTTTTGCAACAAACATTACTTATTCTTAACATTAAGAGTAGGCGCACACCGTTGATTTTTCGTCGGCCGATAGTTTAGTCGGGCAGTTGATCAGTATGGGCATGTATGGGAGTGCGCACACTACGCCGATTCGATTTGGCAGATTCTTCATACAATTTAAAATCGGGCACAACTATCGGCCAACTAAAAATCAACGGTGTGCGCCTACTCTAAGGTGAGGTTCTATCAATAATCTATGGATACTTCACCTGAAGTCGCCGCCCAAGCTGTGGCACTTATTCAGGCCGGACACAGCCAAAGAAACGTGAGTGCTCAACTCTAAGTCGATCTGCGGTCCGAAATGTTTATCGGAGGTACCTAGAGACTGGCGGCTTTGTTCGTCGCCAAGGAAGGCCACGATCTCGGGTCAGAACTGAAAGGCAGGATCGATTCATCGTGACGACCAGCTTGAGAAATCGTCACCTTACCTCCATTGAGATACAAAACCAACTTCGCGACTTCCACGGAGTATCTGTGAGCGCTCGAACTGTTCGGAGAAGGTCAAAAGAACGCTATATGGTACCACACAACCCAGCTAATGGGCCCAAACTAACGCGAGCCCACCGAACAGCGCGCCTTCATTTCGCACGCAGTCATTTAAATTGGACACAGCAAGATTGGAGCCGTGTACTCTTTTCTGATGAGTCTAAAATTGTGTTACATGGCAATGATGGAAGGAAGAAGGTCTACCGACGTAAGGGAGAGCGTTTCGCACAATGCTGCTTTGAAGAGAGGGTTGCTTATGGCGGTGGCTCATGGACTGTCTGGGGCGGTATATCCGCGAGCGGCAAAACTCAACTTGAGGTTGTTACAGGACCACGGCTGCCAACATTAAATGCTGAGAGGTACATTCGTGAGTGCTTAGAACCTCACGTGATACCATACGCGGACTATGTGGGCCCAAATTTCCTTTTTAAGCATGATAATGCATATGCATGCCCATGCGGCCGGCATCGTCAGGGAATATCTTCGGGATGTGAACATCACAGTTATGGACTGGCCAGCCAGAAGCCCAGACATGCACCCTATTGAGCACATGTGGGACGAGCTAAAAGACGTGTTAGGGCTCGTCAGCCAGTTGCCCAGACGATGCAGGAGTCGAAAACTGCCATAGAAGAGGAATCCCTCAAAATTTCATAGAGCGGTTGATAAACTCTATGCCTAATCGTATGAGAACTGTGGTAGATGCCCATGGAGGCAACACGCGTTATTAAATTAAACCTTTATTTGATAAAACATGTTTTTTATTCAAAAATCAATTGCCTCATATCCGACTTGTTAGGCGTAGCTCCATGTCGTATGGTATTCTGAATTCAAATTTAAAACAATACGATCGAAAAAGATGGTAAAATGTATCAGGTTTAAAACTGCATCAACAGTTTTTGTTCAATCTAGCAATCATATTTCGGTAGGGGCCATCGAAACCTAAACTCTTTAAGGTGGGCCAATAGATGTGTCCAGAAGTGTATTTAACAATGTTTATGCCTTATAAATATTCGGTTAAAGAAGATTATGCCAAATGAATTCCTTCGTAACAAGATTCTGCCAGATGGGAGCCATCCATAACATCCCTGCTTGTATTTTTTAAATTAGGTACCTTACATATACACCCACAAAGTTTGTCTATCTTTCCGCCAAACACCCTGTATATTGTCATGATGATATTTCAAGAAAACAAAAACAGTATTATGTAAAAAAAATCAGGAAACAATCTGCATCTTGTTTTTTTCTGTTTACATAATAAGTATTTATTATTTTCAGAGTCACAAAAGGTGGTCCATGAACCTAAGCACATACGTAGGTTTCCATGCAATTTATGTAATAAAACCTTCACGTCGTATTATTCTAGAACAAAGTACAAGCGAATTACACATTTTGGACTGAAACATTCATGTCCAATTTATAAAAAAAGTAAGAACAAATGAATTCTTTATATTTTAGTACAGTCAATAACTTTTCATTATAATTTAATTTAGTACAGGGCATTTGGATGCAAAACTGCTATACTATCCGTTCGCTTTATGTTTGCCACTGGCGATATGACGTCACTCGAAGGGAATCGTCTATAACTTTAGCAAACTATATTAAAAATATTTTTTATTTATTAATATTGATATGAATTGTGTATTTGCGTAAAATAACTAATACACATTAATTGCGTTTAATCACTAACTAATTGCCTACAATCGCGGTTGGGGGAGGGGACGCGCATTCCACGGACGGGCAAACAGCGCGAACAGGCAGTACGATTATTCGATAAAATTAAATATGGTGGTAACCATATTTATCGAAAATTACTTCTTTCCTTCAGAGGTGAAGGATCTAAAAATTCACCAGCTTACACTGCACGACTGTTCAAATATGTCTTACGAGTGCGATCAATGTGGGCTGCATTTCATGACTCCATCTGCCCGGAAAGACCACATGACTGTGCACAAGAAAGGTCGCCTGTACGCGTGCGACCAGTGCGACGCAACCTTACGGAGTAAATCTAATTTATACGAGCACAAGTGAGTACAATAAAATTATTCCTGAGAAGCCGCAAATGGCAATTAGTATTGCCATTACCTATACTAAAGTAAGTAGGCTGAAGTACCTATAAGGTGTAAAAAGACGAAAAATACAGGATGGAAACGATAAGTGATCTCACTCGATTATCGAAAAACCTTAGCGAAAAACGCGTTACTGATCCTGAAAGTGCTTCACAAGCTCTATCAAAGGGAACTCTTATGGAGAGTATTGGTTATTTGCTATGGTGTTATCACAGATAATATAATACTACTTAGTTATCAAGAGATGAGTTTGGCTGGTTATGTGGTTTAAGTAAATGTATGGAAGTTGGAAGCATTTTTTTTTTATAGATTCAGTTTATTTTAACCAGCTATTGATACCGTTTGTCAGAGATTATGAAGCACTACATAATACAGTATAGCCTGACCAGGAACATAAAAACCCTGGCATAGAGGCGCGTCAATTGCATTTGATAGTGCAACACAGTACAGTCGTACCTGTGTTAAATTAATAGGCTAACTTTATGTACAGTCACGGAATGAAAAGGTTCGTCAGTTTTCAAATTGATTCCCTCAACGAATCGCGAGCACATATTACCTTTTGAAACTATGTTACAGAATAATCTCGAGTTAGAGAAAATAATCTTTAACTGTTCGTCAGTAAAGTTCAAAATTATTCAGATCAAAGTTGTTTGACGATTTATCTTGTCAAGAAGATTATTATGATTGATAAACTAAAACCTTCTTGTTGGTTCAACCTGCCATTATTATTTCTTATAAAATAAAAAAAAAACTATTGTCAATTGGTCAATGTCATCATTGCATTGCACTGATGGGATAGAAAAATAAACAAGCAAAACCTTATTCGTTAGCAAACGTCATATTTATTTAAATGTCAGCAGCACTGTAGAGTAGAACCACACTGAACTGTCCTTTATTTGACACTGACAGGAGGGCCACCGTCAATAGCGGATCGCTAGTTCCGAATTTTGCCACGGTGGAAACCATGTAGTTAAACGAAGATAGTGGCGCCCTTCTGTCAATGTCGTCGGTGGGACATTTCAGTGTAGTTCATCTATATCTTGCACTGTTATGTTGGCAGGTTTGACTCTTACAGTACCTAGTGCAAGCGAAAACCGACACTAAGGTGACGAA